GCGACCCAACTCTTAAACACCTCCAGGGATGGGGACTCACCACCTCCCTGGGCAGCCCATTCCAACATATAACAACCCGTTCTGTAAAGGAATACTTCCTAATATCCAGTCTAAACCTTCCCTGGTGCAACTTGAGGCCATTCCCTCTTGTCCTATCGCTTATTACTGGGTTAAAGAGGCTCATCCCCAGCTCTCTGCAACCTCCTTTCAGGTAGCTGTGGAGGGCGATGAGGTCTCCCCTCAGCCTCCGCTTCTCCAGACTAAACACCCCCAGTTCCCTCAGCTGCTCCTCGTACGACCTGTGCTCCAGACCCTGCACCAGACCTTCATTCACCAGACCTTCTTTGTTAAAGAGAAGGTAAAAATTAAGTACAGTAAAGACAGTCACAAGGTATGTAGAAAAGAAATAATTTGTAAAAAACCAACATGCATCTCTGGGAAATGAGTTCTAGTGCTTCATTTCATAATGGAGGAATTTCATCAATCTCTAAGTACTTGCAGTTAAATGGCAGCAGATCACCTTGCACATTTTCACTATGGTTAGATATTTACACTTATCTGAAGCATCTGACCCTACTCACTGATTAGTCACTATGAACAGTTTTATACTGACTTCAGTAGTAATAAACTTCACTAGAGAATGTATCAAACTTTTACAGTTACAAGAAAGTGAAGGAACTTCTATGTTTACTAAAAAAGGTCCTATAATATCTTAAGTTACAGCCTCAGATGTATAAAGTTTGGTGTTACTTCAGAAAGTAAGAGAACAAGCCCACATTTCAGACCTCTGGACAGATAAATTGTTTAATGAAAGATGGGTGTCCCTCTTAACTTCAAGTAAGATATATTCTAAAGTCATTCCAGTATTTTTTTTTTAATACAGCTAACAGAAGATTTCAAATAATGCTTTACAAAACTTTCTGGGCTAAGAGAATGAAAAAAAAAAATAATAAAGATACCACTTGAAAATCTCTTTTCAAGCTTTCTAGAGAAAAAGAATTTTGTAACTTTTGGTTTTTTTAGGTTGTTATGTTATATATTAACACAGTTAATATAAACATGTTGACATTAGGAAGATTAGGAACAACTGTAGAAGTAATGTAGAATACCATTTCTCAGTTCTTCCCCCCCCGCTGTCTGTGTCTGCAATTTCTATCAGCAAAGACTCTACTATTGGTTTGTAGCTCATCAATCTCTCTCTTGGTACAAATTTTTTTTCTGTAAATGGAAATTTATCCAAAGATTTTTAAGACTGTCTGAAGATATAGTCTTAGAATATGTGAAAAAAGCTACTGTCATCAAATAAAATGCTCTATAAATTCTTCAGATATACTGAGTTCTCTCTCTAGTTGGCAAAAATTATAACAGAATCATACCACACTTATTCTGAAGTACCATTTTACAGTAGTAAAATTGTGTGTCTGTTCTCCTGGTAGGTATCCTCTAAATGGTAGGAAAATTTATGACCAAAACCTTGACAAAAGCCATTGAAAGTTTGTTGGGAGTCATGGAGCCTGTCAATCCCTCAACCTGGAGGTGCATGCAGAACCCCTTCTGATCCTAAAGGGGATGCTGCAGTCCACTTCTGCTTTCTTTTTACCTTTTAGAGAGGTACCACAAAATTTTGCTGTAAAGAGAAAAGGCTCATCTTAGAAGTGTTTATATGGTTTAACAATATTCCTAATTTCACATAAAAGATCACCTTGGAACAATTTACAGATTAATAAGACTAAGTCATCTTTGGCCATCTCCTTTGTGCAGCTGCGTAGCAGTGCTGCTCAGTGGTAGTATAGCCCTTTACCTTGACATGAGCAGTGAAAAGGCACTTTGCAGCAGAGAGAATAGAGAAAGGACATCTTAGAAACTATCCTGTACAGTTTTGGGAGAGAAACTAGTTTGATTATCTGGCCCAGCTACTGGTAATTTTGCCCATAACAGTGACATATTTTGTATATCTTTTGCTTCTTTTGCACCATAATTTCATGTGGCTTCTGCAATGCTTTGAGAGCTGGTAAGAAATCTTAATAGAGTGTGACCTCTTTCTAGGTCATCCTTTAGTGATCTTCAGAAGGGCCCAGCTCACCTTTCAGATGAAGTTTGCAGACCGAAGGGAAGTTCAAAGCATCAGAGTATGGATCGTCATGCTGTTCTGCATGCAGTAGGTCAGTGAAGGCAGACAAATCACATATATTTTATACTGTCTGCGATGAGCTTATGGAATTATCAGAACAGAGTTAAACATGATTTTCAAACTGATTTCAGTATGTTTTCCATTCTAAACATAAAAGAAAATGGTCTTATGTTCTCTTAAGCATCTAGGAGAGATAAATGAATATGCTTAGTGTACCTGAAAAAGTCCTGCTGCCAGAGCTATTAAAAGAAAAATAGGAAGAAGATGTCATGAACATATTTCCTTTGTACAGTTACTGCCAAAACTTATTTCTCTGTTTTTATTTGAGTGTCCCATTTAGCTGTGCAGTACGCTCTTCTGTTCAGAATTAATATTTCATCATAAAGTGATTTTCAGACTGCAATTTGAAGTACTGACTGGAAACCCCAATAAAAGTAATAGAAATATGTTGGCAATTACACAGTATATTTTTCTTTTCTTTCTTTTTTTTTTTTTTAATTACCATTTACCAAGTAACATCATGACAAGCTGCTAACAAAGTGAATTAAAGACATATGGTAGCCCTGTCATATTTAACACACTCATCTGTCATCACATTCTGCTATCATTTCACTCATTATATCATGTTTGTAAAGTCAGTACAAATTTTCTATAAGAAGATATATATTTCTCTATTAATGATATTTTTTCAAGCCTCTTAACCAGTCAGAATACTTTGACCTTATATTATATTTTTGTTTCCTTAGTGTTGCATATTCTGTTACCAATAGTCAGCATCTAATTATTGGAAGTTCATGGTGTATTTAATTTATATTCCACCAGAACAACCAAAGCTTTAGGGGCAGAAATATTTGTTATACTTGTATGCTGTGACAGAAAGCAGTAACACAGAGTTTATTAACTGATTGTTTGTCTGAAAGCTTGCTATGTTAGCCTCATAAAATAAGCCTGTGAGGCAGCTGTGTATCTTAATACACAGTCTTTTTCCAACAGTATAAAAACAAGTCTAAAAATGTTATTTACATGAAAATTAAAGTAAATTGAATTCATATTTATGGACATATCGACTAAAAAAATCAAATTAAGCAAAACAAATATTTAATTCTAGTCAGATCTGCCTAAAAAATTATTTCAGTAATAAATAAGAATTCAAGATTTTTAACTCTTATTTTCCAAAAATATTTTTCCATTTACTTCCTTTCTCTTCAAACTTTGCTGGAGTCTAGCCATTAAAGTATTTTAGTGCTAAATAACTGAATAATTCTCATAACTAAAACATTTATGTTAGTAATAATTTACAGATGTAAAGGACTTATGGTGTGCTCTCATCTGATATATCTTAATGAATATTTGTTACATTTATTTTTATGGAATAAATAATGGCATTTCAGTTTTGGCACTTCAGAAATTCACTCATTTTGATAAGTGACAGTACAGTCCTAGATAAGATTTGTGGTTGTGGTTTTACATTTTTCCAGAAAAAATCTATCATCACAGAGACAATTCAAACTTTAAACTTATTAAGGGATGGTCCAACAATTCCTTGAATAGTATGGAGGTTGTTATTGAAAATTTTGACTGTGCTATTATTCTAAAACATTATTAATCATTGATGTACCTGAATTTCACAGAAGTTGGGGAATGAATTATGGTACACAAGATTTGTGTATCTGTGTCTGATATATTGATAGATCTGTGTGTCGCATTTATACCACGAAAGACAAGGCTATTATTGCATACTAACATGAAGTGTGATTATCAGTATTTTGTTAGAGATGTGGCCATTTAAGAGAAACCACATTTTCATTACAATACAGCCATATTTTCAAAACTTCCTCTCAACTTTTCAAGTAAGTGGAATTAGAAGAGTATTTCAAGGCAGTAAGTCCTTTTAGACTTCTGATTGCAGATAAAGGGTTTATTGATAAAATAATAATGAAAATAATTAAGGTTATGTTTAAAAATCAGAGCATTATTGTTATTTTCAAAAAAATCCAGAACCCCCCCAAAACTTTGCCTTTTGAGGTCCTGATGTTTCCACTGCTGTCACCAGATTCCTTATTTGCTTAGCTCTTGTACTTTAGTTACTACAATTCCGTATGGTTACATTTCTTGAGTTCAGAAGTGCATTCTGGCAATAGACCATGTCGTCATAGCTAACACTGAAAACTGAATTTCTCTGTTTATACTCTATTTCTGTCTTTATTTTTCTCTCTATATTGCAGACAATATACAGGTGATACTTTTTTTTTTTTTTTTTCTGTGTCACGGTGGTTAATTCAGTTTCAATGTTGATTCAACTTGGATTTTCAAGTGAAACTGCCAAACAAGGTACCTGTTGGTAGTGGAAGCAATTGTTTTCTAATCATGAAAATCTCATGAATTCAGCTAAGATCTAACACACTTTACTTATCACTTCAAAGCATTAATCAGGTGAAGTATATAAGAAATGAGAGCTTTGCAAGAAGATCAGAAGACCCCAGAGAATCATAATATGTCTCATTAGCGTCACTGGGAAAGTTTATATTATATATGTTTTAAATGTTCTTCCTCTTCTCTATGGTATTCAGTACCAACAGTTTAAAATAAGTACAGAAAAAAGGAAAGGAAGTTACAGACACAGAGGATGATGCAATGTACTTTCTCTGATGTTCTTGCACCGCTAAGACCACAAGACTATCAGTTATATGTTCCATTAGTTCTACATTATACCGAAGCACATTGTTAAACAATCCTAGATAAAATTTGTCAAATAATACTTTTTTCCCAGATAAAGCTTCACTTTACAGCATTACTTTTTATGCCCCC